ATCCGATGGCCGACGTGTTGACATACGTGTCGTAATCCCAGTGGTAGACCTTCTGCGAGAACTGGTAGCCGAAGACTATGGGCCCCAAGTTGGACGAGATATAACTGATTACAGACAGGAATAGCAATAGGATCTGAAAGCGAACGTAATTGTCGCGCCGTTTCACTAACGACATCAACATTTTGTGTCCGTTTTTTATGTTAAACAACAGTTTCAAGGGATGTATGAACTCGTGGCTTAAGAAGTGTCTGAGTTTGGCGTTCACCCGATGGGCCACATCTTTGCCATCGACGCTGTTTGATACTGAGCCAAATCTGAACTCCCATTCCTTAATATCCCGCTCCTTGTCCACCATAAGTATTGACCAAATTAGTGCAAACACTATGACTACACCACTTATAGTGAACACCCCCGAGTAATTGTGTAACTGACCCCCGTTGAACATGGGGTCCGAGTTTAATATGTGGGCGCTCGCGTATATGCCCAGTGCCTGTGCTATGGGTAGGAATTTAAATAAATTAAATATACCAGTATAGTTTTAGATATGTTTTTTATAGACTAACCTAGTAAGTTTATAATCTCGGCCACTGTTACTCTGGTGGTTAAAATATGGAAAGGGGTTGTGATTGCGATATATGGCCAGGTAGCTGCCAACAAGGCAAATAAGCCTCCGGATAATATACCAGGCACATAGGCGGTTAGTATTAAGGCTTTATCTATTTTAAAACGAATTAAAGTATTTTTAATTATAGTGTTAAATGTTTTTCCTATTACTTACCCCAATCAAAGTAGTAGTCATTGAGTATAAGTATAATACACTCAGCAATGATAGCCAAAGCACCGGTAATTAGTAACCACTTTTTGGCCTTAACGTAGGTGTCTGTCCAGTGGCCGATTATAAAGGTAGCCAACAGTGAGGGCACTATTACTAAAGCAGTCTTATATAGAAATAGATGTTTTTTGTCCTCATATATCGTGGACCTCATGTTCAGGTAGTCCTCGTGGTCTGTCATAGTATGCAGTTTTGAACAATAGGTTGCATTCAAGTGATACTTAAACCGACATATCTTGTCGGCCACCAACTGTTCCGTTAACTCCCGTTTCATGGTATAGACAAATGTGATGGCAAACAGGTAGGGCTCCACTCGCAATAGGCTTAGGAACTCACCTACCCTTTTGATTCTAGGTATTAGACCACCTTTTGAATGCATTGCAACTATTTATTTACTTATGCATCACAAAATTAATAGATTATTTTAAAAATACTTTTAGTTTAATAAATTATTTGAATGAATTTACGTTGACATTATAAATAGAGCACCATTTAATAAGGTGTGGATATATACTGTATATATCATATTTCCACTTCAATATAAAAATAGTTTAATACATATATCTCTATAACCTTTCAAAAAATATAGAGATATAATAATTCAGGATGCTTATGATATACATTTTTAATACAATTCCTGGAATATATAGCAAACATTACTATAGCCATATCTAATCTGGCTTATTTATGAGATAATACATGAAACAATGGATAGTTGCTTAGTTTTATTGTAAATTATTTTCAAATATTTATTATTCTTATATATACAGGGATTAATCGGACAGGTGTCATGAACTACAGTGTGTTTACCTTATTATTTGTTTATCTGAATAAATAAAAGAGTTTAATAAAATTTATTACTATATTATTATGATTATGTTTAAAAATATATATAATATACACATCATAAAGTTTTATTTATGTGCTTGCTAAAGCTTTACACTTTACTTTCATCGCAACTTTTATTACACTCACTATTAGTATCTGTACTTTTAATTATATAACTATTGCGATTATAATCAGGCAACTCTGTGCAACAATGGATCCACGTGATTACAATTGCGGGCACCAGTAGTATGAGTGCCACCACTATTAATTGCAATTTGGGATTGGAGTCTATGGTGGCGTCAAATAATAAAGTAAACACTTCTGTGGCTAATAACGGAGCATTTGCCTCATTCATGGCAACCAAACTGAATACTTTCCCCATTTCATGCACGTCTATGATCTTGGTCATGTGTGCCCTAATGCCTACAGTGGTCAGTGCGCTCAAACAGCCGGGTATTAATGCGTAATAAAAGCCATCAGTCGAGAGGGCCAGGGCTCGGGTCATGTTTAGTGTGAAAAATGATACCAATCCTAACAGGGATAGTGTCGTGTCTCTCAGTTTTAACACCTAAAATAATTTTAAAAATATTTTTAACTAACGTTTAAGTAAGCTATGTAATTAATTATAATTTACCCTTAATAGTACCGGTGCCATTACAAACAATGCTAGTGCCAGCACCAGGTTTTCAATGGCAGCCCCACTACTATAAGTGTGAAAGTCCCACGAATAGACTACCTGCGCGAAACCACTCATCATAATAACAGGTCCCATGTATGCCAATAGGTACAGGGACACCGCTGTCACCAATAGGTGTATGGCGAGTTTACCATGATTATCTCTTTTCCCCATTAGTGATCGATGCGTGTGTTTAGCATTCTTGATGTTAAATAATAGTCTCATGGGATGTATGTCCTCATTATCTTTGTATTGTCTGAGTTTATCACTCACTCTCTCGTCAATACCGTTCCTGTCCGAGTCGGGTATTACACT